CCCCAAAACCCCAAAACCCCAAAACCCCACTCTATCCTCATCAATTGCTGGATATAAAATTAATATCAACTAAAAAATTTAAAGCTCTAACAAAGATATCCATATTTTAGAAAGCTGGATGTAGCGATTAACAATTAGTCCTTTTCAAGTTAATGGCTTGTGGGAGATTTCCGAGGCTAGTCAGGGCTTGCTTAGAGATTTTGGGTGTGGATCTCTTGGTGTGGAGAAAGATAGGGAGTTTGGAAGCAAACCCTTACTCAAAAATTAAATGATCTATGAGTTAGAATGAAGAGTAGATGTCTCCTGAAGTACACATCTCCACGAGTTGTCTCTTTGTGTATGAGAAGTTTGTAGTTGCGGCCAATCTGTGAAGATGGATGGCACAATAATCGTAATATCTAGCGCTAGTCTCCTCGTCTGTGGTACCACAGATGTAGGTTTTTCTTCCTTCAGCTACAATGTATGCGTTGTATTTGCCACTCTTGTAAGAGACTCCTATATATCTTGATCTCATGCTGTTTGGAGTACGATTTGGCGCTTGATACTGCTTGGGTGTAGCCTGAATAACGACTTCTTCTGGATCCAAGATATGATCAATGTCGCTGAGAATCGTGGATGCTAAATTTATTTAAGATTCATGAAAAGAACTGTCAATGCGATGAAGAAGATTGTTTAGAGAATTAGATGTCCTGTTAGAAGAAAGATCCCGAGGGTTTACCTGAACAGAGGGAAGAAAGTCTCTGGAGTATCTGACTATTTCTTCTTATGCTTCCTTGGTATAGGATCTAGTTGAGGCCTCTTTTGCTTTTCCTTAATTTCTTCAAGCTGAGGATCTGCTGCTTTAGTTGATTGCAAGTTCATATCCTTTTGAGGGCTTAGAGGGTGTTTATCAATTAGAGCCCTTGTTTCAGATGCGCCAGGATAAGGTAAGCTTCATTGGCAATAATCACTAAGATCAGGAATCTGCTGTGGGGTTTGAAGGATTGGCATCATCTGAGGAACAACCACAGGCACATAAATAAAATTCATTGGTAATAGCAAAGGCGTAAATAATTGGACTTTTTGATTAGGGTTATTCATTGTCAAAATAATTAATTTTTATGAAAATATTTCAGAAATTAAGTTTAAGACTTCCAATTAGAAAGTAAAATTCATGATTCAAATTTTTGGAAGCCTGAATAATTGACATGGAATTATAGAAGGTTAACAATTTTTAATAGTCCAGATACTCTTTCTTTTTTAGAAAATAATCAGTACGAACGTCATCGGCTTTTAATAATATTTGAGTTCAAATTTCCAGAATTCATGAATAACTTGTTCAAGTCAGGAAAATCCCAAGATATTTTAAGCTCCCTACTACGCGAGCAAACAAAGTATCCTTACAGAATATTAACTAAGGGAGAAAATAACAAAATAATTCTGAAAGCTTCTGTTAATAACTTTATATCAAATTTTATTTTAAGATCAAGATTCATGGTGGGACTTTTAGCTTGCTTTGAAACACGAGTAAGTTTCAGACCCAGACTTAAAATATCTATCAAGTCATCGAGATTCATGATAAAATAATATCTTCTCTGGTAAAATTTTATTATTGTTACAAGGTAATCGTCAGAAAGAATTTTTGGGACTGTCCATGCGAAATCCATATCCTCATCAACCACAAACCTGAATCGCATAAATGGGGCTTTTTGAGAGCGAAATGATTAGGAAAAAGAGCTTCATTGATTTCTTCTATTGCCAACTCGATTCTGAGGATAATTGGAGTTCATAGCTATATTAATTGCATCTTTAAAAAATTTACTATAAAGATTTCTCATTGTGAGTATTGCAAATAGCTCACTTCATTGTTCTTCAGTATTTGGTCTGATCAACCCAAATAAACACCTAGCTTCTAGAAAGAAGAGATCTCTAAAGTTTCCACACTGATTATTCCTTAGCTCTCTAATATTTAAATCTCAAAATGTTCTTTGAAGCAGATAAGTTTGAATTTTAGACATATTTTGGAAGTATACTTTGGTAGGATTACAAAGACCTTCCTTTAGGAGGTTTATAACAATATATCCTATTTAAGAAAGCTCTGTATAACTTCAGAAAGCGAAGCTCTCTATTAATAGTTATAATAAGAGCAAAAATAGTAAAGAAGCTTGACCTATTGACCAAATTTTTCTTTAGGATTCTTGCCTGAACTCACAATGACTCTGGAAGTACCTCTCATTAACTGAATAATATGGATACAGCTCTTTTTCATCCTGATTCGTATCTTGATTACTCATATTATGAGAAGAAGAAATCGACAGTTTGTAATTTAAGATTTTAAGTAAAAATTATTAAGATGCTTAATTTGACAGCTTTCTTTCTTGCCTCTAAAGAGCTCCTGTCTCTGGGTTCTACTTAAAAGAATAGTAAATGTTAATCCTTCTATGGCATAAGTCCATTAGTCATAGCCATGAACTTTGGATATGGCCATATGCAGATATCCTTTCTTTTGAGCTCATAAAATTTTAGGAGTAAACTTTTTTTTTAAGATTTGAGGACTCAAAATGCTACAAAACTTCACATAACAAAGCTTTGAAGCTTGAACTTTCATCAGAAACAAAAAGTAAGAGCTATTCAGCATCAGTAAGCCATCCTAGGAAACTTTTCCCAAAATTCCATCAAGCTAGACTGCATGAATCTTTCTCGTGACTAATAAAATGTTAATATTTCTTTCTAAATTTTTGAAAACCTGCTTGCCAAGGCAATGTCTGAGCCTTCACAACGCCTTGAGAGTTTGAAATAGCTCAGATTTAAGCATCAACTTAATATATAGCTCAGTCTTGTTTGAGATCCTTTTTGAAAAATATTAATTACTTGTTTCAATTGCTAAACTGCGAGTTGGGGTTTTGGGGTTTTGGGGTTTTGGGGTTTTGGGGTTTTGGGG